ATATGGGAAACTTTGAAATAACATAAAATTAACTCATGTCTAATAATCTCTTTGTGTAGCAGCTCTCTTAAAAGAATCTTTACATATAAGTTCATTAATCCTTTCATTGACTTGGCCTAAGACATAGTAAAAAGTAGAATCCTGCTACCTCCCCTGCGAACAAAATAGGCTTCTTACATACTAGGAATCTAACAGAGTAAACAGGGAATCCCTGTCTTAATGTTCTGTTTGATTTTAAAAGCTTTTGCTGTGTTTGTTTTTCTTCCTCTGTAGACCAGGACCGATTCGCTTTCGAGAACAATGGCTGAGGAACATTATTGAGGCCAAAAATATTTTAATGGAGTCACTTCCCTTCTAATTCAATTGTGTCTGCTTTTTACAGCATGTCGTAGGATTGTTTTCTAATTAGAATACACAAAAATGATACCACACATCAAACCATACAATATTTATTGAATAATAAACTTGTGACACACAATACAGCTGTTTTTGCATTCATTTTCCATTCTGCAATTTCTATCACATTAGCAGAGTAACCAGTCAGTTGTTTTCTATTTTCTAAAAGATATTTCCCATCATCATTTGAATCACTTCAGAGTGTTACAGGTACTGAGCTTAGAGAATTGCTAAAATTCACTTGTCAGATCAAACTAAGGTTGGTACTTGGCTGCTTGTTCCCCCATCTCAGCCTAAGTCTTTAGCCAGATACATCTTATGGGCACAATTGGAGAACAACTAAATGGCAACATTTCTACAGAATACAACCAGTCTAAGGGGTTCTCCTACTCAGAGACCCCTTCATTTACTATGAGTTAAGCCTCGCTGCTATACAATACATTTTGAAACTCTGAAGTTGGGTGTGCTCCTTTCTACACATCACACTCATGATGGCAGCAAGGTGGCTTGGAGACTGGGGCAGTTAAACAGGGATGTGTTAAATCACTAACCTTACTTATCTCTGGTCTCTCTCTCTCTCTTTTTTTGAAACAGTCTTATTATGTTGTCCTCAGTAGAGTGCCGTGATGTCACAGCTCACAGCAACCTCAAACTCTTGGACTTAAGTGATTCTCTTGCCTCAGTCTCCCAAGTAGCTGGGACTACAGCTGCCCACCACAATGCCCGGCCATTTTTTGGTTGTAGTTGCCATTGTTGTTTAGCAGGCCCAGGCCAGGCTCGAACCCGCCAGCCTTGGTGTATGTGGCCAGTGCCCTACTCACTGAGCTACAGGCAACGAGCCATCTCTGGTCTTCTTCCTATCCTCACACCAGATCATCACTTGCTCCTATCTCCTCTGTGAAGCTCTCTTGCCTGGCTCCAAGTTTTAAGACACCAAAGACAAAATTACATTATACTCTAAGTGATTACTTACGAATATGTCACATTATGTATTTACATATACAAGCACTGGAAAAGAACAGAATTGATGGCATACTGTAATTTTTTTCTTTTTTTTACTGTTATACAATAAATAAAAAGGAAGGAAAATCCTATCAGAGCAATAGTCAAGGAGGTGGGAAACTAGATAATTCTCCTCAGAGAACAAAAAATATATTTAAAATACAATAGCCTTACAATTTGACTTACAGCTCAGGTGACTAAAAACACTGTTTGAAGCTATAACACTCATAAGCTGAAAATAAAAAATACTTTTAGCCCTTTTATTCTTCTCTTTACCAAAGAAAATGCTACTGAAGCTATTTTTAGGCAGATCTTTCCCAAACAACCCCGATGAAAGAAATGGTAAGGTTTCAAAATAAATTAACATCTTTTCTTTCATTTAACAAACATTAGTTGAGTATCTACTCTATAGACAGAAGAATCAAATGAAAATTCACAATATTCTCATGTCATAAAATTACTGAAAATAAGAAAACATATATTTAGTCTCTAGGAACCAGTAACAAAAAAAAAAATGTCCTTAAGGAATAAAATTTTTAAGTGGGATTGAAAAATTTAAGTTTTATTATACATGAAGGTAAATGGATTAAGACTCAAGTTTGAGAGCTAGTTTCCCTTTTCTCTTTTCTTTTCTTTTTTTTTTTTTTT